CTGAGCCTGCGGGGAAACCAAAGGATCGCCCACTTGTCTGGTGCTTTTCCTATAGACTCGGATCTCACGGACCTGGAGAATCGGCTCTATGATCTGTCGCTGAACTCAGCCAAGACCAGCTCAATTGTACGTATTTCTGCTCTCAACGTTGACCTACTCTGCTGAGCATTCCCTGTAGTTTCAAACCAGCGGGTGTATTGACGTCTCTCGAGGATTCTCCGAGGCACTGAGAACAAGCTATCAGGAATGGCGGGGATCATGGAGACCACAACCGCATTAGTACGTGAACCTTACTCGAAGAAAGTCCTTGTCTTCTGACGTATGAACGTGCAGCGTCGATTCCCCCGCGATTTCACCACCTACCTCTTTCCCGAGATATTTCGGCTCGGACATTGTTCCTCCGTCACTGTCGGCTTTCACAACGCTGGAAACGACATCTCGGTCTGCTGTTCTGTTTTCTCAGTATGCCAAGTTGGCGAACGACTGTACCAAACAGCATGCGGCAATTGTGCAGCAAATGGGACTGGAGATGGATGATGTGAAAGAGCTGAGGGACGTGCTTCGGGCGCTGGAGGACGAGTACAGGGGTGATGAAGAGTATGCGGATGGCGACGATCATGAGCTCGGCGAAGACGAAGAATGACGAGTGAACGTCCGAATGTGGGCTTTGTTTGAGGGTGACAGCTGGCGGAACGCTGTTGGATAGCTTGCTACCGAGTTCAACCGACGGCCTCCTTCTCGTACAGTAGACCCTCTCTACTTTCTTCATTGTTGCGATCGTCCGATAGCGACACCCATATACACTCTGCGCATTACCAGCGCATGCAATGTCCGCCTTTGGGTCCTTGCGACACGAACAAACTTCGGTGATTGCTTTACCATGAAACAGCTTCGGATTCTGGGGCCTGTGATTTCAGTTCTCGCAGACAAGCCGCGCCGCGACCAACGTTCGCCACAATCAGCGGACAGATTTCGGCTCTCTGCTTGAATCGAAATCGTATGCGTAGATTCTTGCGCAAGCATTTTGAGAGAAAAAGAGGAAGAAGACCCATCGCAGCCATCGGGCGAGCACGAGACACGTCCGGAGCAGCCGGAACGACCCGGATCATCGCATCGCTACTCCGCCAAATCGGGAACTCCTTCGTCATTGATCACCAGCGCTTAGATCGGTCCTATTTCGACATGGCTCCTCCAATATTTGAGTCTGTCCCTCCCTCCTTCCTTCATCCCTTCATCTTCCCCTTCTTCTGCAACCGGCACGTCTCTCGACGTCGTGATCAACGATGAGCTCGCTAAGAAACCAACGAGCGATCATCGCGACGCTCTTCCTCCCGAACACGGCTGTTCTAGGCGACTCGGCCCCTGGTACCCCTGGAGATACCAGCTTGAATATTCCATTCAAGGGGGCGCACACACCAGCGCAACGCTCGAGCATACTAGGGAAGCCAGGGCCTCTCAAGAGCATTGTTGAGGATCTCAAAGATAAAGTGAGTTTCTCTTCTAGCAACGCGGGCACGGTAGCAAAGCATGTGCACCGACTTTTAGACTGGGAGAGTCTTTCGTCGCGCGCAGCCATCATCATGTGTCTCTCGAGATCTTTGCTTTGACTGACAAGGTCTACTCCTAGTCCCGCGCTGTGAGTCCTGCAATCACACCACGAGCAGAGAGCACCAACCCCTTCAGTGGTTTCCCCGGACTCACGGCCAGTGCTGTGAGTGGGGTGTCCACCGCCACCCAGTCACTTCTCGATACCGTCACCTCGGTCGTAGATGGAAGTGACGGCAAGCGCAAGCATCAAACCACCCACAACAATGCGGCGCATTCTCGCGTACAACGGCGAGCCTCCCGCTCTTCTGGAGTTCGCAATGCGTCTCGTTCACTCTCGTCCTCTCGCCAAGACTCTTACACCCACTCTCAACCGTGGCACGTTGAGAGTAATCCCCACTGCAATGGCGGTCTGAAGAACGCGCTCGACAGCGTGCATGGACGGCTGAAGAGCAAGCTTTGGGTCGGTACTTTGGGCATGGACACCGACAAGTTCAAGGAGAGCCTGAAGAGGAACATGGAGTGGAAGATGCGCGACGAACACGACAGCATCCCGGTCTGGATCCCCGATTCTGAGTTTGCCAGTTGCTATGACGAGTTCTGCCATCAGGTGCGTACACTACCTCGTCCCGCACTGAGATTGTACTCAAAGCTCTCGACGTAGGTTTTATGGCCTTGCTTGCATTACGCCATTCCAGATGCGCCGAAAACCAAATCGTTCTACGAGTCCGCCTCTTTCAAGCAATACGTTGCTGTAAACCAGCGCTTCGCAGACGCCATCGTTTCCGCTTACACTGAGGGTGACATCATTTGGGTCAACGACTACCACCTGATGCTCCTCCCTGCCATGATCCGTACCAAACTGCCGAATGCCACCATTGGGTTCTTCATGCACGTCGCCTTCCCGTCTTCTGAAATCTTCCGATGCTTGTCCGTCCGGAACGAGCTGCTGCACGGCGTGCTCGGCGCCGACCTCATTGGCTTCCAAACCGCAAACTTTGCTCGTCACTTTAGGCAAACCGTTAGTCGCATATTGAGTGCGGAGGCGCTACCCAAGGGTATTCAGATGGAAGACCGCTTCGTGGACGTCGGTGTGTTCCCGATCGGTATCGACGCCAGGGCGTTGACGGAGAAGAGGTACGTCTACAACGAGCCTTTGCGTCGGCCATGTATTCACGATACACACTTCAGGCGCAATCCCGAAGTGGCTGAGTGGGTCAAAGTTCTTAAGCAACGATACGCGGGCATGAAGCTCATTGTCGGACGCGATAAGCTCGATGAAGTTCAGGTATGTTTGTGGTATTACGATTTTATAATCATAAGCTTACATGTTCTGTTTTGTAGGGTGTGCGCCACAAGATCCAGGCCTTTGAAGCATTCCTTGACAAGCATCCTGAGTATCAAGGCCAGGCAGTCCTCATCCAGGTCGCGCTCCAGACGACCGAAGAGAACGAGACGCAAGGCGCTGTTTCTGATGTCATCTCGCACATCAACTCTCGGTTCTCTACCCTCACGTACCAGCCGATCGTCTTCTTGCATACGCAGGACTTGACGTTCAACCAGTATCTGGCGCTGCTTACTGTGGCGGATGCCTTCATGGTCACCAGTTTGCGAGAGGGTATGGCTTTGCGGACTCACGAGTTCGTCGAGTGCCAGGAACTCCGTCACCGACCTCTGATTCTCAGCGAGGTATTTACTACACATTATATCGTCAACGCTTCGCGGTACTGACTCGTGATTGTCAGTTTACCGGCTCCTACAGCTACAGCGGTTTCCGCTCGTGCATTGCCATTAACCCCTGGGACAAGCGTACAACCGCGAACGCCATCTATCAGGCTCTCACTATGCCAGACGACGAGGCCCTCTCTCGCTGGGAAGACCTTCACAACCACGTCGTCACGCAATCCGCTCAAGCCTTCGTCACCACTTTCCTCCTCCGGTGCCTCCGCGCCAACCTCTCTCACCAACCTGACTCCATGAACGTCGCTGCACTTGACGTTAACTTCGTCCTGCCCCGGTACAAGCACAGCGAGAAGAGGTTGATCTTCATTGACTTCGAGGGTACGCTGTGGAAGAGGGATTTCAACGCTATGCGCGTCATGGCCAAGGTCCAACCGGAGGCTACTTCTGAAGCTGGTCTCGGTCTCGGTGGTTGGAACGGATGGGGCTTCGAGGAGGACATCCTGAAGGTCCTCAAGAAACTCTCTGACGATCCCAGGAACGAGGTCTGGTTGTTGAGTGGTTTGCAGATGAAGGGTGTTCTCGAGACGATCGCCAACGAGGTTCCCAAGATCGGCATCGTGGCTGAGAACGGGTGCTTCATCAAGACTAGGCCAACCAGGAGTGGAGATTCGAGATGGATGAACATGGTCTCCAACTTCAACTTGACATGGAAAGCGCCCTGTCTTGAGATCCTGCAATACGTGCGTGCTCTCCGCATTTGTTTTGATTTCTTTCGGGCGCTGACACGCCGCCCATAGTTCACTGAGCGTACTCCCAACTCTTTCATTGAGGAGCGCGAGGCTTCTATCGTTTGGCGGTTCTGGAATGGTCCCCTAGACAACGCTTCTTCAGATAGACAGTGGGCCCGCCGCCAGGCAGCTGAAGCACAGAACCATATCTTCGACAGGTGAGGATCTTCATTGCCACCTATCTCGACGCCAAACTGATGCTGTTTGACAGTCTTGGTGAACGCTACGGCTTGCGTATTATCCCTGGCTCCAACTCCTTCCTCGTCCTTCCCAACAACATCTCCCGTTCCACCGCCGTCGGTGCCATCCTCCACCCCGGCGGGCCCGCTCACGTTCCTCTCATTCGAGGTAGCACCGGCCCTACGTCACCCCTACGGGCTTCCGGTGCCCCAGTGATCTCTTCATCCTGGCTTTCATCCGAGACTGCCGACACGACCTACGAACCATCCGCCACAGCCGACTTCGTTCTAGCCATCGGCAAAGACGAGAAGCTGCTGAGACGCCTGAACGAGCTAGACAACGCTGAAACCGTTTTCACCGGCGAGGCTGTTCGGGTGAATGGCGTGCAGATTGGCGTCGGGGGCGAAAGCGAGGGCATCACTGGCAGTGCGGGGAGTGGGACTGATGCGAAGTGGAAAGTCAAACCCGAGGAAGTGACCAAGGTCCTCTCGAGATTTGCAGAGGTTGAAGCCAGGAGGTGATAGATGGCTTTGTTTGAGATATGGAGCATAAAGACATTCTGCTGTCGATTGTTTGGATATATTCTAGCTAGAAGGAAGTTCTGTGGTTGTAGAGTATGTAACAATATCGCACTTTGCTACACATGGTTCGGAAGAACTAACGATATATACACAATGTGACCGTGCACTCAATGACGCAGATGCTCGACGCTACGCTTGCCAAAAAGCTTTGGACAATCCGTCCGTTGCCTAGAAGCTCGAAGGATTCTGTCCAAGTCAAACAGAAAAAAGCTACACATACAGTCGCTGACAGCAGGATTTGAACCTACGCGGGCAATGCCCAAGTGATATTTGAACACGAGTTCAAATCACTCGCCTTAACGACTCGGCCATATCAGCTATTGCAAAAGCGCAGCGCTTGATAATCATCATGACCCATACGTGATCCAGACAACGGCTATTCGCATCCTTCGGTTCTCTGCCCTTACCCTCGTACTCTCTACATGCATATGCCATCATGGCTATTCTTCTCGTCAGCCTTTAAAAGGTCGAAGTTCATCATTTTGGTCGTCTCGGACTTGCAGATCATAAGTCGTGGTTGAACCGGGGGTCTCGATGGGAGTTTTCCTGATCCTGAAGTCTTTTCCTTTAGCTGGGTATCTGGAAGATCGCAGTGACTTGGAGAGTGCCGTCGACGCATGGTAAGCAAGCAGTACTTTCCGAAGTATATACAGCAGAACCGATGTGTCGCGCAAGTCGAGGCCGGCCCAATAAACCCGGAGGAGCTAAAAGTAACGCATCAACAACGAGAGCCGATTTTCAAATGTGTTTGAACTCGTCGGGGTGCCCGTTACCCGGCGTGCTTTTTACTGTAACTTTCAACAGCACCCTACCCATCCAGAGCCCAGACCCTATTGGCATCGCTGTCTCTCTTCATCATGTCAACGACGGCGGCGAAAGATGACGCCACCGAGTTCAAAGACAAAGGAAATACTAAGTTCAAACAGCAGCTATACCAAGAGTGGGTTCATCACTTATCGTAATGCTGAGGACCCGTAATTGACGTTTCTGAATTCCCCTATTTCTCGTACTCCGGATGCGATGACTTCAGTGCTATCAAGTTCTACATGAAGGTATGATTTTTCGTCTCTGTCAACATCCCCAGTAATGACTCAGTTTATACAGGCTGAGGCTGCAGACCCGGAAGAGGCTGTGTACTCTTCGAACCTTAGTGCAGCATTCTATGAAACGGGAGACTACGCGTTATGTTTCGAGGCCATCTGTCGAGCTGCACAGAAGATATCAGGCGCAAAAGAAGCTTCACCCCTGTTTTCGCGCTTGGCAGCACGTCTAGCAAAGACTTTATGCTTTGGCTTGCGCGCCGGACAAATTACTTTTGACTCTATACAGCGTCATGCTGAGGCGATCCAGGGATTCTCAGACATAGCAAAGAGGACGGATGCTGCTGGAGAGCTTGTAGCGTCCTGGGCAGATTGGCAGCGAATTGAGAAGGACCAAGAGAGAGTAACAGCAGCAGCAGCCCAAGCAAGATCACGTCTTTCTAGTCTCCCTATATTCAAGCTATCAACGTAAGCATATCTGTGGTGATCTCGCGACAGGCCGAATCTGACCATGATATGTGCTTAGAGATTCTTCGCTGCATTTCTTTACGGTACAGCCTCAAACCTACGTTCCTTATGATCGGATGCTCATGCATGCATGATTGACAACAGCTTGGCCACGATAAACCGATGTCCATCGTCGATGATTGGGGTGCCCATGATTTAGATCGAGATCCTCTGCATCTGGACCAACTCCCAACCACGACGCTCTCTCGATTAGCCTTCTTTTTTGGTGGGGTCGGAGACGGTAATTATTCGTGTCATACTTGATCTAGTGGCGGCACTCACTCACTGTATCCGCAGCGCGTCATGTCTATGGCTCAATAATCGGAATCCACGCTGCTTTCAATCGCTTGAGCAAGAACAAGAAGTCGAAATTCAGAACGCATTTCACACTCCTCGACATCCATCCTACAGCGCTAGCCCGTGATCTATGCATGTTCTTGCTGCTCGACGAGCTACTCAGGAAAGAGGGGAGCTACGACCAGGAGACTGTGATTGAGATAAAAGCGACTATCTTCTATACATTTCTTGGTGTCATCGTTCCACCGTATTGTCACAGACGGTGAGTGTCTATCCGGCTGCCACGACATACATCCGGTGTTGACAAATTGACGTTTAGCTTCCATGCTCTGGTCAAGAACGTCATAGAAAGACTTCAGCAATCCCCTCCGTTACTTCCAGCTTGGATCCACGTCAATGCAGACTCGATTCCCGGGATCTTGAGGTCATTGCATCACTGGGATGCTGGTCTAGCCAATAAGACGACCAAAGAGATGCTTCGGTATCACAATTCTTGGGAAGGTCCCAAAGATATCCTCAAAGACGCCTTGGCGAGCGAAGCGGGAGCGGGCTATAGAGAGATGAAAGAACAGCGACAAAAAGAAAGCGAGGAAATTGTCAGCAGGAAAACAGACGATCAAGTCATCAGTTTCTTTCAGCCGATGGGTCGTACGCAGGGATTCGATCCGTGTCCGGGGTTGGATAAGCCCGTCACACGAAAGCTTTGGCTCGACATCGCCCGAGAGGGGATGGTGAAGTGGTTGATGGGTGAGCTAGATGACGAAGAAGACGACATAGGTAGTGATGCCGGCGACATTTTCCAGTCAGAAATGAAGTGGTATGAAAAGACCCGGACATTCGTTCCACCGGCAGTGCTGCGAAAGCGGTACGATGGATTGAATGAAGCATGGAGCTCCATCCGAAGATCACCTGGTAAAAGCGTGCCGAGATTCTCAATGGTCGGTCTCTATCCAATTACCAGCTGCTTGTGCTCTCATCCGTCATCTACTTTTGTATAGATAACAAACCACGTCAACCGGGATTGGCGGCCAAACTCATCGTTATTTGTGACTATCCTTTCGCGGCCTCTCATTTTGTCTCAACTCATGCTCGTTTCTGCATAGGACGCACAAACGAAACCCCACATTGGGTATCCGAATATGGAGAATCTCAACATGTTCGGTTCCGTATCCTTGTTGAGCCAGTTCAATAGACGTATGACGCCGGCAAGCAAGAGAAAGTCAATCAATGAAGATCATCCTTCGCTTTCAGTTGGAGAAATTTTCTTCGATAGCGTCGTTGACGCCCTCAAAACTCTTCAAGGACGTATGACTCTGGAGTTTCTCCAAGGAGATCTCATGCATGAGCTCGCCAGGATGCGCCTTAAGGCCGATCATACCCGTCCTGCCCACTTTCCCCGCACGTATATGCGTATGTGGCTGAGCAATGTGCCGTGCGTATTCTGGCTTAGTAGCATCATGGTATCCGACGACATCCTGATAGCCTTCACTCTCAGGGACTATACTCATGGCGTGCTGAATGAGGCCATTTATGCCGTCCAAAGTCTGGAATGCGAGCCAGGATCCGTTGCTGGAGCCAATTGCATGCTGAACAAAGGTTCATGGTCTAATGGAGATGAGTTGTGTTATCAGTGCGTACCGTCTAAGCTCTTCGACTCATCTTCTCGAGAAATTTCTGACGTATGGCCCGTAGCTACGCTCATCTGTTGCCTCACGAGATGCCCAGATTCCTAGGCTGCAAGATCACAGAGATTGACCCATGGGGTGCCATCAAAATCGAACGTCTTCCAACGCCAATCCCTGCACAGTCTCTCGCGACTCAATCGGAGCTGCATACATGGCTCACTCGTGTCCTGTTTTCCACTCTTGCTCCGGGATTTTCTTCCACGAACGCCAACGCACGCATAGACTACCCAAACAATCTAGTCGTCTTCATCGATCTCTTGATACGTCTTCATGGAGTCGGCTTCCCCGAACATTGGCTCTCTGCGTTTATCAATGCCATTCTGTCGGATACGCTCACCACAGACGTAGCGCCGTATCTAGGCCAATTTCCCATTCCATCCTCGGAGCGTAGACGGTGTGTTCCCCGGCGAAAGGTCAACCTAGAACCGTGGCACGTGGATCTCGAGAATATCCTAGCAGGAAGCTGGGAAGCACTGCCTTTCCCAATCTCTTTCCCGCTCACGTTTGCACGCTCACATGAAGAGCTTGTCCAGCTACAGGTCGATGCATCACCGCGAGCCTTTACATATGCATCCCTCCATATGCTCTCCCGTCAGGCACCGGTGTTGGGTCTGCTGCTGTTCCGCGGCAAGGTCGGACGCAATAGCGCAGACCATCTAGCTCAGAACATTCATCAAGTGCTGGAGGGGAAGCTAGGCACAGACCATAGTGTGCATATTCTGACCATGGTGGACGAGTTCGACATCAAGACAGGGAAGATACGATGGAGGATGAACCAGCAGAGATTCAAGCAGATGCAAGAGGAAGGCGGGTGGGTCATGGCACCATACCGCTCTGATGCACGAGAAAGCAGTGAGTTCATAACAGTGGTAGCATGACCATTGCGTCTGACGAAGAGTCCAGTTGTGTCGCAGCCTTTCCCGTCTGGCAGCTGGCGCAAAATGTAGATGTATTCACAGCTGATGGATTTCAGAAATGTTCTACACGAACTGAACATAGGGTGGAGCTGCGGTGAAGGTCGTGTAATGGTGTTGGAAAAGATAATTTGATCCAGAAACCCACGCAGCGTAAAATAGATATGCTGCGAAGCGGTCTAGAAGATATATAAAGCTTTAAAGGGGTGTTCTGAACGGTGCTAATGATGAGCCGGAATACATTGAAGTGTAGAGGGTAGTCATGTCCCGAGCATTTTCATCCTATCACTTTATACGTGGCGGCGAAGACGGCTCCGAACCCGCCTGAACCTAGTTGCGTGAAAAGAGAAAACTCCACCAAAGAACTGCGCCCTGGACTGGACGGTCTGGTAGTCGACTTCGGTGTAGTGGCAGCCATGGTCTCTACGACAGGAACGTCCATACCACTGCGATTGAGCTCGACAGCTTGGGCACCCGGAGTGACAACCGGTACAGTAGGCGTTACATGAGCACGAACGATCTCCGTACGGCGCTCTGGGACGACGGTGGGTTGAATGATTTCGCCTCCAACGAAAATGTCGGCGCTGAAGAGTAACTCTGGTAGTTCGCTTTCCGTACTAGCGAGCGGCGCAACGTCAACGTCAATGAGCGTGTTGAAGATGTCGGTGGTGATGATATTTTGGCGTGCCGGTGGTGGGGTGGTGTCTTGTCTTGGATCTCCACATCAAGCAAACTGGTCGAAGTAAGAGGGCAGGCGGTGCAGTCGTCACCGAGCTTGATAGTGACAAGCTCGCTGGAGTCTACATCCACGTGAACATCTGCTGTGGCGAATATCCTCGGCACAATGCTGGTCTCTTCGAGCTGCGGAGTAAGAA